GCTAACACAAAAAACTGCACCCAAACCCACTTTTGAGGAAGGGAGCTCCACGAAGCTCCACAGAACTCTTACTTCCAAGTAAAAACGTGCAAGCCCAGGCTGCACAACATTATGGCACCTTGCCTTAGGTATATTTCAAATGTTTGCAAATTCCAACACAAGCAGCATTTCATACGGAACCCACATGTGGGTGTTCAGATGTGAGAACACACAAGGATAGATTTCACTACATATGGACGGGGTGTCCTGTGTCCCCTAAGTGTGTGTAAATGCAACAAAATACATGCATGTAATTTCATATATAGGTTGCCTGCTAATTCATCTATGGAAATCCTTTCTGTATAGGAATTTGTAACATTTGAGTGGCCTTTAATCTTGCAAAAACTGACACATTAGGTTGTTTTCAAATAATATTCTCAAAGTCCAATCCCTGATGCTAATATTTCCCTTTGAAATTAATTATCCCACTTCCCTTGGTGCAAGCAGAGTGAATTCCCCCCCACCCCCAAGAGACTGTCTCAACAAACCTAGGTAACTGTGTATTAACTCACCAGACAACAGTCCCACCCCCCCCACACACTATACCTCCAGTAATCACAAAATGCTACGAACAAACAGCACGGACAATGCATTTAGTGTCACAAGATTTTGAGTGAAATGCTATGGGCCATGTTATACTTTAACAGATTTCCACTTAGCTTTCTGAAAGACTTAAAGACTAGCTCTTTGTATTAAGTGTTTTACCATATTCAGTAAAGCATAATAAAAGCACTGTCCATACTGTTTGTTTGTAACACCACATTTTTCGATTGTATAACAGTGCTGATGCTCAATGAAAAGACCTCTGGATAAGATTACAGCAGAGCTTTCCAAACTGTGTGTCGCGACACATTAGTGTGCCGGCTGATGTGCGGGTGTGTCGCGCAAACGCTCTTATAAGGGGTAAGTTTAACCTCCGGTTTGCTAGTTAAAACTGAATTGCAGTGTCGTGAAATGATGCGTGTCTAGAAAGTGTGTCACCAACATGAAAAGTTTGGAAAGTTCTGGATTAAAGTCTTATGTGGCACAATGGTGTTCTTTCCCCCCACCCGCAAGAAACTTCCATTCATTGTCACAATTCTTTGATACATATCTTTAAATACAATCCTTTTTACAATATTTAAAATATTACATCTGCTCAAATTTTAGTTCGTTTTTGTCTCCATTTTGTCAGTTCCTGGATGTCAATATGTGTAACATGTAACTACTTTTAAAATTCAGTAAAGCATTTGTTTAAAAGGATTTAAAAGTATATGGAGGTTTTGTCCTATACTTCAGCTATTAATCAGGAAAATAATTGCAGAATTTTTTTTTGTATCTTACATGCATATAACTGTACTGTACATGTACATTCAATGAGATCCAATTAGTTTGGGGGGGGGGTTCATTTCAGTTAGGATGCACTAACAAGACTGTGGGGAGACCATGCAATACAGCCAGCAGCATAAGACAGAATGCTGTTTTCCTAGAAACATGAATTCCCACAACTGATCATTTTAGAATGTTACTGATCCTTACAATATTTGTTTTCCTAACATCTAGGAGATCACAATGAATGCCTGTATTAACTAAACACGGAGAAGTATCCTGAGCAGCAGTTTGATGGGGGAAGTATATTTCAGCGAGACCCTGTGTTTTTACATTTGGCATGTTAACATTCTGAACATTACTAAACCAAGCCTTTGTCTCACACACTCATGGACAAAGTTTAAGGGCCTTTACATAAGAGATGGGAAACCAAAAATGTAGCAGGCTCACAATTTTTTGTGCAGCAGGCAAAAAAAAAAAAATCTGTTGAAGTGCAAAGCACAAAAATCTAAATAATTTTATTACATACCCTCAGTGCTTTTTTTCCTAGGAAGAAAGGTGTCAGTACAGTGGTACCTTGGTTTATGAACTTAATCCGTTCTGGAAGTCCATTCTTAAACCAAAACCGTTCTTAAACTGAGGTGCGCTTCCCTAATGAGGCCTTCCGCGGCCGGTGCCCTTCCACCATTTGGATTCCGTTCTTAGACCGAGGCAAAGTTCGCAAACCGGGACACTACTTCCGGTTTTGCGGAGTTTGTAAACCAAATTGTTCTTAAACCGGACTGTTCTTAAACCGAGGTACCCCTGTACCTGCCTGAAGGCCATTGTGGGCATGGCTAGAAAGAGCAGGACGAGGGGGGAGAAACAAAAGGCTGTGGCTGATGAGCAGAGAGCGGGGGGGGGGCAAGAGGGAGCAGGTGGGGATGGCAACCGATCTGGAACCCTCAAATTGCTATTGGGCATAGCAGCCCTGTTTTGCAGGGCCTTCCCTTTGTCTGGGAACAAGCGAGATGGTGCTGAGAATGGGGCTGGGGAGCCCACACTTCCATTCCTCCATGCATGGAGGTGGGCAGGCGAGAGAGAGAGCGGGGAGTGAGCCTGAGGGGGACGGGGGCGAAATGCAGCCACCGCTGACAGAGCTGGATTTCTCCCCCCCCCTTCCCCCATTTTCTCCTCAGACACTCCAGTGGGGTGCCTTGTTTGCTCTGTTTTCCCCACTCAGCCACCCTTTCCCCATTGCGCCACCCCTTGCTTCTCAGTTTTGGCAGAGTTGCTCCCCAGGGAGTCTAAGGCTTTAAAGACCAGCACTTGAATGGGGGCCCTGAAATGAACTGCCAACCAGTGCAGCTGTTTCAAAACAGAAGTTATTTGAGTTCTGAAGGGAAACCCCAGCAGCGGTGGGCTTTGCACTCTTGGGTTCCGGCAGCGCCTTGTGTGACACTAAAATTCAGTGCCCTACCACCACCTCTCACGCTCCGTTCTACAGCACTATTTTGGTGGCACCAAAAACCTCCTCGGACCCCAGCAAGTCATCTTGCATTTTGGAGCAGTTAAAAGTTTCAATCTCATCTTTAAGGACAGCATTGCATAGAGCACATTGCTATATAAACCCTTCTGGAAGTAACCAGAGCAGGGAGTACCAAGCCGTTGTTGTTGTTGTTGTTGTTGTTGTTTAGTCGTTTAGTCGTGTCTGACTCTTCGTGACCCCATGGACCAGAGCACGCCAGGCACTCCTGTCTTCCACTGCCTCCCACAGTTTGGTCAAACTCATGTTGGTAGCTTTGAGAACACTGTCCAACCATCTCGTCCTCTGTCGTCCCCTTCTCCTTGTACCCTCAATCTTTCCCAACATCAGGGTTTTTTCCAGGGAGTCTTCTTTTCTCATGAGGTGGCCAAAGTATTGGAGCTTCAGGATCTGTCCTTCCAGTGAGCACTCAGGGCTGATTTCCTTCAAAATGGATAGGTTTGATCTTCTTGCAGTCCATGGGACTCTCAAGAGTCTCCTCCAGCACCACGTTATCTCTGTACAAAAGGGGCCATAACTGGCAAACCAGCCGAAGCTGGAAAAATGCATTCCTAGCTAACAGAGACACCTGTGCCTCCATTGTAATGGCTGAATCCAGGAGCCCCTCACCCCAAAGCTAGAGATCTGTTCCTTCTAGGGGAGTGCAACTCAGCTGAGGACATGACATTTTCCCACCTCCCAAACTCAAGAACTCAGGACACACAACACCTCTGCCTTTCCAGCATTCTGCTCCTATTTACTGGCCCCACATCCAGTCCATCACCACCTCCAGGCAACAGTCTAATGCCTGACCCGCCTTTCCTGATACAGATGGAATAGAATCATAGAATTGTAGAGTTGGAAGGGACCCCAGAGGCCATCTAGTCCAACCCCCTTCAGTGCATGGAATAGAGAAACAGAGTTGCATGCCATATTTGTGGCATCTTACTTGAAAACCTTTGAGGGGAGCTCTCACCTGTTTCATACACCACAAAACAACTCCCAGAGTACCAAACAGTAGACCGGGGGCAACCCATAGGCAGGTGGACAGGGTACAAATAATAAGATTTATTATTATTATTATTATTATTATTATTATTATTATTATTAATCTCCCACAATGACTAAGCGTCAAATGTCAGATTTATAGCAGCACCCAGTAACATAGCCATGCATTAAAAACACTTCCGTTTGCTAGTGGAAAATATATTCGGATGAACTGGAAGATATAGGGCGCACATATAGTCCAGTATATGTCTTTCTAGCTATATGTGTTTGTTAAGTATTCCGTTCGCTCCATTGACTTACTGTACAGTACCTGTAATTCCCAGAGTTCAGTTTGCTGCAGCTGTTAACAGATTCTATAATCTGTAATGACAGTAAACTGGCCTTTGCTCTTCCCTTATTCACTATTCATTTTCTAGGCTTGGTTAAATAGATTGCTGGGTTAAAGATCAGTAGTTTTTCATGTGACATGCTTTGGTATTCATCTAATGGCCTGTGAGGACAAAACTGTCCCTGTTCTTGCCAAAACAACAAAATGCGTCCTTCACACCGCATGACAATCAGCCCTTCCTTGTGTCCAGATAGCCAAACTTAGATAACTTTTTAGAGGGTGTCTTAAGTGTATGCCTGGAACCGGTTCAGCAAAAGAGAAAGACGCATTTTAGCAAATGCGGAGAATACTATTCTTTTGATTCTGGTTGATATGGACATGTAAACATTTTTTATCCATTCTCTGGCATTTGCAGGATGCTGTTCATAGCAGGCAGCAGGAAGGAATAGTTTAGGTTTCTTCAGTTCTATGTTCATCTGCTCTTCTTTTTTTATAGTATCGTACCGGTGGATGTTATTTGCAAATTGGGGTACAGTGGGGTATACGCTTCAGGTTACAGACTCCGCTAACCCAGAAATATTACCTCGGGTTAAGAACTTTGCTTCAGGATGAGAACAGAAATCGTGCTCCGGCGGTGTGGCAGCAGCGGGAGGCCCCATTAGCTAAAGTGGTGCTTCAGGTTAAGAACAGTTTCAGGTTAAGAACGGACCTCCAGAACGAATTAAGTACTTAACCCGAGGTACCACTGTACTGCATCCCACCCTGGGATCTCTTGTGGTGAAGAGTGGGCTAAAAGCATGAGCTTTTACAAAGAGTTCAAACATGATAGCTCAGTTGGAAGAGCATGAGACTTTTAATCTCAGGGTCATGGGTTCGAGCATGGCAGGGGGTTGGACTAGATGACCCTCGTGGGGCCTTCCAACTCTACAATTCTAAGATTCTATGATTCATCAAGGCCTAGCTTGGGCATGGTTATTCCATTTCGCCTCAGAGCCGCTGCCAGCCCTTAATATATTGGGGTGTTGGGAATGATGTGTCCAGACGGGAGTTTGGATCCAGAAGATTGCCCAAACTATGAACCTGTTCCTTCTGTGATTGAGCCATTTATTTATTTAGGTCACTGGAGGCTCCAACGGCAACCCTAGCCACTGAGGCTTTCTACTACCTATAGCTGGTACACCAACTATGCCTTGCACACCAGTTACAGCCACCCTCCAACAAAGATAGCATGGTAGGGTTGCCATATTCTAAAAAGAAGAAAAGGAAAAAAAGAAGACGACACATTTGCCGCCTTCTACTTTGGATCGTTAATGACAACTCTACCCATGAAAAAGAGGACGTGTCCTGGAATAAGAGGACCTATGGCAACCCTATTGGGCCACAGTGATTCCCTGCACGGATGACCTCAAGACTCCACAGTTGCAATGGACTCTGTGTTGGGCAACTTCTGGGCCTGGAAAATCAAGCTGGCGTAAAATGCTGCAGCTAGACTGTTGGTGGGGACAGATTTCTGCCAGCGCAGTACTCTTCTTTTCGCTGCCCATATTTCAAGCAGGCTTGTCCCTTCAAAGGATAAAATCCCAACTTAATGGTGAGATGGACCTAGGCTAGCCCAGAACCATCAGATGCTGTTTCTGTTAAGATTACAAAGCATCACAGCTAGACTTTAAAACCCTTGTTCTGTTTCTGCCTTTCCCCAGCCACAAATCTCACTAACAGCCACATGTGTTTATGAGCTCTAAGATAGGTACTGTGAGCCCTTACCAAGGCAAGGGAAATAATATTTGAAAATTACACAAAGCTGGCACGGTGACAATAGTTCAGAGGTGGCATTTCAACAGAGCAAACAGCACTTTCTTCCCCCAAGAATGTAAGTAAAGGAATCGCTCTGCGACATCTGTTAGACTATGAAATGCTAACAGATGTCTTAAGTGGGGGGAAAAGGGAGAAAAATCCATACAGGAAACCATACACCAAACAGATAATGCTGCTAACTTTCCACATATTACCAAACAAAAAAACAACAACCCTAAAACACTGGCAGCTTGCTTCCTTTCTGTGATACTTATAAAATATTTCTTCGACTTGGGTTTTAGTAAGTTGGAAGATATGGACTCATAATTTCTCTATATAAAAAAGCATCTGTAAGAAAATTTATTTCTAATAATTACACATGTTTTAATGCCTTAAATTCAAATACTAAGTATTCCAAAACATTTCACCCATAGGTTTTTAAATCTTTTGTGTTTTAATAAATGAACAAGGGAATATGGAACTATTACAGCCTTCATATGGAGGACTCTGGAAAAACATTCCTGATTTATTTCCTAATTGTGGTTTTATTCAAACTCTGCCTTGCATCTCACTGTGCCCAATATGTTCAGGCCTATCATGGCGAGTTCTGAAAAGGAAATGAGTAATGATAAGCTGGGGGGAAAAACACACAACAGTGGTTAAGAGATTGAGAATGTTCCCATCTCTGCCAGATCTATGAAGCAGGCTCAGGAGAATTTCAGGCTTGTGGGGTCTACACTTTGGGAATTTTCTTTTGCACTAAGTACCCTGAATCCACTAACCACAGCAAGGTGCAAAATAGCGGCAAGGAGGTGTGGAATCAGACACAAAGGAGTGGCCTAGAGACTGAATGAATTATCTACCTCACCCCATAAGCCATGCATGTAGGGGCGGAGAAAGGGGGTACAGTGGGGGCGGGCCACGGTGGGTGTCACAACTGAGGGGGGTGACAAAATGGCAGGCGGCACTCACCGCGGGGCCTGCAGCATGCCCGAGCTATGCATCTCTCCTGGGAGTGACATGGTGGCTTGGGCGCCTTCAGCCTCTGCGCTGCCCCAAACGGTCTGCCCACCGCCTTCCCCTCAGCTGTAGGGCAGCTGAGTAGGAGGAGGAGGGCAGGCAGGCAGGCAGACTCACACCCCACAGGGCGTGCCCCGCCCCTGGGTGCCCAATCGGCTTGCTCCGCCACTGCATGTATGCACCAGGAATGACTTATTCTGATGTAGATTTGTACTTAAAAGTGTAACTACAGTTCAAATGGTCCAATTGAAAGAAGAAATACAGTGGTACCTCTGGTTACTTACTTAATTCGTTCCGGAGGTCCGTTCTTAACCTGAAACTGTTCTTAACCTGAGATGGGCCTCCCACTGCTGCTGCGCTGCCGCCATGCGATTTCTGTTCTCATCCTGAAGCAAAGTTCTTAACCCAAGGTACTATTTCTGGGTTAGCGGAGTCTGTAACCTGAAGCTTATGTAACCTGAAGCGTATGCAACCCGAGGTACTACTGTAAAAAGACGTTGTTGTTGTTGCTGCTGCTGCTGCTGCTTTTGCTGCTAAAAAATTAAAGAGTCAGAAACCCTTTCTGGTCTACTGTGAATAACCCAGTAGATCCCACCTTGCATTCTGCCCACCCCTGACAAGGAACAAATTACAGTACTTGTAAATGTCATAAAACTCTGATGGCTGCATGCCCTGAGTGCATTCTCACAAGTGCCCTGAGTGCATGCTCACAAGCTTAACTCTTTCCCTACTGGCTGCTTTTTTATTCTAAACTCCCACCCCAGGCACTTCATGCCCATCTGCCACAGGGTTGCAGATATTTGGAACAGCCACTTCTCCGCTAAAAAAGCACACCCTTCCGAAACCTGTTTTCTTTGCCCTGCGCACACTTTGCCCCCTAACACTTCCTTAAAAAAAAAAAAAAAGCACCTTTCAACTGTTCGCAGTTATGAAGCTCACAGGGTGCCCATGAACATCAGTGACAAGGGAAACATTTGCCTTTTGCAAGAAAGCGCACAGCAGGCAAACAAAGCTGTACAAAAGTGATCCTGGCCATCATTGCCACTTAAATATCCAACAGCAGAGGCAGTCTAGGAGCAGCCCTATCCTGATCTTTCATGGGGAGTAAATCACATCTAGTATACACTATACACCCATAAATCTAAGCCACCTATCCTGCTAACCAACAATACCTGTCTTGCCTGGATCAAGTGTGGGGCTAGGGGGGCAGAGATAGATAAATAAATAATAATAATAATAATAATAATAATAATAATAATAATAATTTATTATTTGTACCCTGCCCATTTGGCTGGGTCTCCCCAGCCCCTCTGGGTGGCTTCCAACAAAGATTAAAAATACATTAAAATGTCACACATAAAAGACTTCCCTGAACAGGGCTGCCTTCAGATGTCTTCTAAATGTCAGGTAGTTGTTTATCTCTGTTACATCTGATGAAAGGGCGTTCCACAGGGCGGATGCCACTACTGAGAAGGCCCTCTGCCTGGTTCCCTGTAGTTTTGCTTCTCGCAACCACCAGAAGGCCCTTGGACCTCAGATGGCATGAGTGGCCTTAACAGATGGCTCACCTGCAAACAAAGTGTTGCGCGTTAGAACCCTCCATACTTTTGTCTTGGCATGGAGTTGTGTGAGGTTCAACAGACACACACACACACCCCGCCACGCTCCCTTGAATGAAACAACACACTGTCTTCAGTAGAACTTGAGGCATATGCCAAAGAGAGTTGGGGCGAAAACACAGTCTTGTTTCACACAGACGGCTCTTTATGGGGAAGGAGTCTGAGGATGAGCAGTCATATTGGCCAGTGCTGCGCATGTTCTCATGGAAGGACACAATCATATTGCGGAGCTTAGGTGGACAATCCTATCTTGCTGAGCAGTGTGAAGAGTCATTTTGGGCTGACAAGGTCAAAGGCCTTCATCAGGTCTCCTGCAGCTAGAATAGTGAGAAAATCATGCAGGCTGATAAAGAAAAAGAAGGTAGCTTTTACCATATGTGATGGGCGTGTAAGGTAATAAAAGCATTCTGGGAAATGATATATAATGAATTGGGAAAAAATGTTTAAAATAATGCTTATTTTTTTAAAAAAAACAGAAGCTTTTCTATTAGGAATTAGATCCCAAAGGAGGAGAAAAGACTTTCATGTACGCAGCAACAGCCACACGGATGTTACTAGCCCAGAGATAGAGAGAAGACAAAGTCCCTACCAGAGAAGAATGGCAAATTAAGCTGTTGGACTATGTCGAAATGGCAAAACTGACTGGAAGGCTCAGGAACCAAGAAGACAAAAACTTCAATAAAGAATGGGAAAAATTTATAATTTACTTAAGAGACTGCTGTAAGCAGATGAAAACATTAGCAGGATGGCAAGAACACTTGTAATGTAGAAGATATTATGGACAAAATAGAGAGACATAAAATTTGTATGATGAAATAATATGCAGTTGAAATAGGACCCACGGAGGGGAAGGTGGGAAGTCCAGAGATTTTGAAAAATCTCTAAATATGGATATGCATTTTGTATTGTTATAACTCAACACTTATAAAATCAAATTTAAATCAGAAAAAGAAAAAGAAAACCATGCCTACTGTCGACCTCTGAGCTCTAAAACCATACTGTGACTAGGGATAGACCCTGTCAGCAAGTGACTGTATTCTGTTGAGAACTACAGGGGAGAAGGCTTTCCTCACAGTGCTCAGCAGAGGTATTCCACAGTAGTTATTATCCTCAGGGTTGGTCACCTTAGTTCTTGCAGAGGGTCACAATGCTGGAGTAATGCATGTCTCGTGAGAATCGATGGCATTCTTCAGCTCTTCGCCAGAAGGAGGGAACCCCAGCTCTTCCAAGACAGACTGGATGCTGTCAACTGCTGTGTCGAAGACCATGTTTATATGTATGTGTGTGTGTGTGTGTGTATTAGTGTTTTAACATACCATTTTCAGCAGTAATTAAACATATTTTTACATCTTATTCCATTTTTTTTTACTTCCATCAGTCCTGTCTGAAATTTTTCCAATCTAATCTCTTAGTAGACATTTCTTATTTTCCCTGTTACATTTAAAACTCATAACCAGTATCTCTG